TTGTTATTCTGTGCAGATCTTCAATTCCCAAAGCCTGCTGTTCATCCACGAAGTTCAACCCTTCTTCATAGTGCGGAAATCACCCCCGCACAGAAAGAGATAGAAAAGAGAGAGAGAGAGAGAAAGAGAGAGAGAGAGAGAGAGATATAAAGAAGATGAAAGAGATGAGGCGATGGTGGTAGATCGGTTGCGACGGAGGTGGTGGTCCGTCAGTAGTGCAGTCGGCATAGAGAGAGAGAGAGAGAGAGAGAGAGAAAGAGAATGGAAGGGTTTGTCAAATCACATTATCGCCGCCATGAAGCATTGCGATCTCTGCCAATTGAGACGGATTGAAGCACCTTCGAGTTTCATTTGTAACTCTGACGAAATGGACTTTAATGACGGTGTCTCGGCCAGCTGTACTTCGTGCTGCCGTTGAGTCGGTTGAAACGCCCGCTTCAGGCCGATGAGATGGCGGCATTGGCGGTTAAAGCCAGCTCCGCCTTGATGAATAGCTCCTCCGCCGGCGATAAATTCAGCTGTTGCCGGAAGAGTTTTGGAAACTTGGTTTTTTCAGGCGAGATTGGTGTCAAGCCGTCGCGCCGGGTGGCTGACGACGGTGGCCGGCGTGGGAGGAGACGAAACTTGTCGCCTAGGTTGAGTGCAATAGAGGAATAGGTAGGGGCAATATGGGAAGATGAAAATGGGTTATATTTTTGTAAATAATTAAAATCAGGTTCGGGTTTACTCTTTTAGGAGAGTCATTTAATTAATTTGGGGCTGTCATTTCATTCGGCGTTTACGTTTTCTGTTGTCAACCAACTTTAAGGGGTTGTCTTCCAATTTTACCCCTGACTTTCTGTTTTTGATTAGCTCAGCTGCGAATGGTTTTGATAAGCAACAATCGATGTGATATATATTTATTTATTTTTAATTGGATGAAATTTTATCTTCGCGTTAATTTCACACGTTGCGTTGTTCAGAAGTATGTGGGGGGTTTCTCCATTTCATCGCCATCATCCAACTTTAAAGTTTACCGCGTACGCTTACTTCTCTATAAGACTGAGACTTGTTTTGGTAATTATGAAAAAAATTAATTTATTAATTTATTGGTTTACGTGAATTACATCACCAATTTATTTTTTTAAAAAAAAATTAATAAGTTAAAAAATTACTTCTCAAAATAAACCTGTGAAGTAAAGAGTAATGAAAATGATATATAGCCTCCGTTTGGGAAGTGGGTTAGCTTTTTGACTTTTTTGGCTATTTTAGCCTGGGCTTAAAAGCTTGGTTTGGGAAGGACTTTTTGGCTTTTTGACTTTTTTGAGTTTTTTTGTGAGAGAAGAATGTAATGATTATAGGTTGAATGTGATGTTTTGTTTGTTATGGCTAAAATAGCCTATTTTGTTTTTTGTGACTAAAATAGTCAAAAAAGCCTCCAACGTTAAGATCCACTAAAATATAATGTACATTTGGCACATTATTTTTTTGAACTGAATAAAAAAAAGGGGGGGGGTGCTCTTTAGTGGCATTATTGCATGTCTTAGGCTCTAGTATAGGTGGCCAGATTTACCTTAAACCAAAAGAAAGATAAACGAAAAATGCATTAATCACCCACACAAGAGATAAAGTAACAAGCGGAATATAACACTATTAATTTCACCAAATAAATAAATCAGTAATTATGCTCTCAAGAATCAAACTTTACTCATCTGTATGGAAATCAACGTCTTTCTTCACTATCACCTCTCTCGGTGGTTACATTTGGCACATTTGATTGCATCGTTTGTCCATCTATTCAAAAATATTTACTATCGTTCGAATTATATATTGAGATTCTAATATTTAGTGATGGTGATAAAATTCAATCTGAAATAGTAGTAGAGAATTTTTAATATTTCAAATAAGTGGATTATTCCATATTTTGGTGTAATGGGATTGAATTATTGTTTTTTTTTTGGCTATAAAATTTATGTCTTATTATTTCACTGTATTCGACTCACATGAGATTGAGTTATTCTGTTTTAATGAAATGACGTTCTGTACCATAATATTTTACTCTCAAATTATGTATATAAGCACTCGTTTGGCACAAGGTTACGAGGTTAAAATAGTCATAAAAAGATAAAATATATTAAAAAGTCAATAGGACAAAATATCATATCTAAACTATAAAGTCCATCCCAAACAAGATTTTTTAACTCAAGATTAAAATAGCCAAAAAATCCACCCATATTCAAAACAAACCCTTAATTTAAGATTCGTTAATGGCATTGTGTGTTTATATTTGAAGTTTGAGTACATACAATTGTTAAGATGGAATTTTTAAAATTGCATTGTAAGCGTGGGTTCATCAATTGACTGAGATCAAAGATTGGGAGTATTCATTTGGTTGTTTGTTTGTATAATATATTGGGAGTGTTGTGTTATGACTCTTTGTTTATGGGAAAAATATAATTTGTCATAATATTTAAAAAATATATCTTATTTTATACATAAAATGACCCTAATATAAAAAAATACATATATCATTTTTTTCCTATCTTGCACTCTCTTTTTATTTCGCATCATAAAAAAATTAATCCTATTTGAATTTTTTTTGTGTATATACATAATTCATATATCATATTATACATACATGCGTGCATATGTATATGATAAAAAAAAATTATTTGTCTTTTGGCCACCTTCGATGATAAAATCCTGATTCTGTTCCTGCATGAGTGTCCAGTATACTCATTAATGTTTGTTTTTAGAATGATTATTTAGTGATCTTAGAACAATATTTTATATCATTTCATACATGACTTTTGTTATATTATCTCTTAAAAATAAACAAAATATGTTAAATCTTAATATTTTAACTGATAAAAATCAAATTATGACACTACACAGACTTTTCTCATGATTCATAAATATTGTATGCTCGAAACAACAAAGAAGATAATACTTAATAATTAGTGAGTATTGTCGCATGAGGTCCAAAACTCTACTAATCACCATGTTTGGTTCTAGAAAATTGAGGTAATATTTAGTTTAATTTTCAATCATGATTTGCATCAAGAAATTTCAAAATTTATAACTAAATAAAAATTTTAAAAATTCTTTTCAAAACTCATAATCAAATTTTTTTCAAAATTCTATTTAAAAAAAGTTCAATTTTTTTTATTTTGTTCTTTAAAATTATTTTTTATTTTTTAGTTTTTTTGAAAAAATATTTTGTTTATTTTTATTTTTGAAGACAAATATTTTTTGTTATTTTTATTTTTTCAAAAAAAAAAATATTTTGTCATTTTTTAAGTATTGGCCAAATAATTTATTACACAAAAAATTATTTTTTAATGAATTTTTTGTAAAAAATTATAATAATTAGTTAGTATCATTAGATATTTATTGTATTTTTTTTGGGGGGGTGGGTAAGAAATTGGATGTCAAATTCCCAAGTTGTACAAGAAAATATTTTTCAAGGAAAATAAAATAAATAAAATTTTTAAATATTTAAAAAAAAAACCTAAAACAATTTCAAAATACAATTCAAAACTTTTTTCAAAACTCATAACCAAATAAGTTTACTATTTTCAAAACTCATTTAAAAACTTATATTTCAAGATACAACTCAAAATTTATTTCAAAAAACTAAACCAAACGGAACTAGAGTTTTTTATTTTTCATTTATTTTTTGTTTTTAATGAGTTTTTTAATACTTAACGTAAATTTTTTTTTAGAGACGCATAATCTAAACATGCTTAGGCTTGGTTTGGGAAGTAGGTTGGCTTTTTGGCTTTTTGGTTTTTTTGGCTATTTTAGCCTGGGCTAAAAAGCTTGGTTTGGGAAGGGCTTTTTGGCTTTTTGGCTTTTTTGACTTTTTTTGTGAGAGAAGAATGTAATGATTATAGGTTGGATGTGATGTTTTGTTTGTTATGGCTAAAATAGCCTATTTTGTTTTTTGTGGCTAAAATAGCCAAAAAAGCCTGAAAACCATCTTGCCAAACAGAGGCTTAAAAAGTATAATATTTGTGAAAATTTTTTTTAAAAAATTCACCAAATACAAAAAATATATTAAAAAATATAAAAATTCAATATATTTTCATATTTTGTTATATTCAATGAATTTTTAAAAAAAATTTACATAAAAAGTTTATTTTTTAAATATGTTAAGATTAAGTGAATCTAAAAATTAAAAGAAAACATTGAAATATTTTTACAAATAATTAAAAATATAAAAATGCGAATTAAAAATTTAAAGAACTGTTTTAAGATGAATAATTTTTCGAAACGGGAAGAGGATGATGACTTTGTGAATAATAAGGACGTAACACAATTTGCACCCTGGCTACTTGGTGACGGTGACAGTGACCATAACTTTTAGGTAATGTAGTCTTCTTCTTTTTTTATCATCTCTTTACAGCTGTAACCATGCATATAATGTGTGTATATGTGTGTGTGAGTCAACAATAATTGGAGTATTTGTTTAATGACGCTTTGGAAAGATTGGTCGTGACGGACTTGCAAGTTGTGTTTGGGTTGGGGGTATCATGAAATCAGTCATGTTACGTTTAGATCCGGGTGGTGAAGGTGACATGTTTGTTTGATCAATTCCAATGTTTCAATTTATTGTTCTTTAATTTTTCATAAAAATAATTATTGTTTGTTTTCAAAATATTAAGTTACATTATTTACCTGCTACTTTTAATAAATGATAAATAGTAACACATATTAAGTGGTTGAATCTTTTTATGTTTCTAGTGATTTTTTTTTTTAATTATATTAATTTTGTTACCTTTTCAAATCTTAAAAATAATTTATTTTGCAAAATTCAAAAAAATATTAAAGGCCAGAATAAGCCTAAAACATTCATTATTTTTTTGGATAAATTACAAATACAACCCCTGAAATTTGCTTAAAGTACGAATTGCCCCTTGCGGTTTGAAAAATTATAAATACCTCCCTGTCAGAATTTTTTATTTAACATAATTAATTGAAAATGTGAAATTTCTAACTGTTCACCTATACAATAATAAAATTATCTGAATTATTAATTAAAATAAAATTTTAACATTATTAAATACCATTAATTAACTTGATAATTTATTAATAGAATGACCCATTTGTTATGAAATTAAAAACCTTTGGGGGCATAATGTTATTTCTAGAACCAGAAGGGATAAATTGTAATTTAAGTAAATCTCAAGGGTGTCTTTGTCATTTACCCCTTTTTTTTTTGTGTTTATTTTTGTTTTTGTGAACTTTTAAATTTTTTTGATTCTTCTCATGGAGTAGAATAAGTCTATAATTTTTTGAATTTTTTTAAAAATTCACTAAAAATAAAAATAAACTAACAAAAAAATACCCATAAAAAAAAAAAAAAAAAAAAAAAAACAAAACCCCAAAACTCATAAAATTTAGATTCGTAAGATTCTATTTGATGAAACGTATAGAAAATTTTTTTAAAAAAAAATTAATTTGAAAAAAGTCTAGCAAAGAAAAAAAAAAAACAAAAATAATGAGTCTTTTTTTTTTTTTTTTTTTTTGAGATCTTCCAAAAAACTCTAATTTTTTATTCTTCTTGTCAAAAAAACAACAACGTTTTAAGAAAAACCGAAAAAAAAAAAAAAAAAAAAAAGAAGTAACCACAGATAAAATATTCAAAAATGATGTGGTTTTTATTTATTTATTCCCAAATAATAAATAATATTTTATTTTTAATTTTTTTGACAAAAGTGGTTTATTTTATTAATAGTAATACATGTGCTCTATATAGTATAGTTTAATTTACAAGACAGCTGGTTACATCAGTCATTGTCGGGGGTGGTTCCTCTTTGACCCTTGTCTGCTACCCAACATAACATCTCAACATGGATTGGATTTCTAGAGCAAGTGCTACTGTGCTGCTCCACTCCACTCCACTCCTACTTCTATTAATTATTACAAAATTAATAATATTAATAACTGTAAAATTTAGGAATCT